GGTCTCTTTGACTAAACAAATGGCCTTTTAAGAATAACTATAGACATTGAACTCTAATGCTAATTGAAGCAATCTAGTAAAGTATCTTCCGCAAATGGTGTGCTACTGCAGCATGACCAATAAAGATTACAACTTCACAGTTTAATCCAATACTAAAGACAATGCAATGCTAGCAGTTAGTTTCAACAGTGAAAGGGGAGGTACTGGGGAAAAGTTGAGAGTAGGTTTAAGGCAGTTCATTGCAAAGATCCATTTGTCATTAAATTGTCTGACTTCAGATTCATAGCTTCAGAACAGTTGCCACTGCAAGATAATGTGATTACAGCAACCGAGAATGCTTAAGCACAATGTCTTTCCATTTAAAATCATAATATTCCTCCATTTACAGCAAGCCTTATTAAGGAAGTGTCATGTTTTATTTTCTCTTTAGCTTATTTCCCCTCAGCTCAACATTTCCAGGATTTGAAATGTGTGTCCCAACACAAATTGGCAATATGGAATTGAATTACTCTCATGGGGTCAGATTTCATTATTCAACAAGTATGTATATGAAAGGTCATCCTCTGCCTGTGTCCTCAGCTGAGATCTTATCACAGAGCTAAAGTATCAGAGGGAATGTGACATCTTCTCCCGATAAAACATTTAAAAAATATATCAGGTAGTGACTATCCTTCACCAAGTGCAGTAATGTTGTTATGGAGGTACAACATTTCATAATTGGCAGAATGAAAGACATGGATAGTGTTTCTGACCCCGGAGCAGCCAGTTAGCAGCCACCGTTGGCCAACAGCAGGCATAGTAACCCTGACAGAGCTAATTTTAGATCTGGCTGCTAATAATCCCCTCCAATCCCTTCCACCTTTGAAACATACTCTCTGTTAACATGCTCTCAGTCACCATCTTTTTCATTATTCCTTATCACACACCTGTGCAAACATGAGCAGCCATGCAGTAGTAGCATTGCTATCAGGATGAAATGACATTCAGTATCATCTACTATGGATGTGACGCAACATCGGGCTTATCCTAGTGGGCTCACATACAGTAGACCATTTTTCAGTCGCACTCACTCAAACAAGCACCGTTTTGAAAGTTGCAGTACATACCCCCAGTGGATCTTACTGTTGCTCCTTGGAACAAACAGACACCTTACAGCCAATGACCTCCAGAACAACCCCAGCGTGTTGCAGCTTCCAACGCCAATGAGAAAACCCCTCCCTGAAACAGCAGTCCAAGCAGATCCGACCGCTGCAGTGCGTGTGCATGCGTAGGACACATTCGGATGCTCAAGAGTAAATCCCTTCAATGAGGATAATGGAAACCGACAGATCCTTCTGTGACCGAGCAATCGCCATGACCGGAAACAATGAACGTACATGAGACTTCTACCACGACACACCACAGTGCAGCACTAACCTAGGTCATATAACCCCCCAGGCCTAAAAACTCCCTCATGGCTAATAATAACGCACAGCATGCAGAGTTGTTTGCAGAAATCACTCCGCATGTACTATGGTATTTACACTATGTGGGCCAGTAAACAAGGCCTGTATACTCCAAAACAAAAGCAGATAAGGGTCCATTTAAGTTACTTAATGTTAAAGAATGCTGTGCATGTTCAATGCAATTAAAATACGCATGGTAAATGTGGCTTTTTTTTTTTAACCCAAGCACCTTACCTCAAATTGAGTCAGTGCAGTCAGTCTGTCTGAAGTAGCAAAGGGATTTACCCATAATTGGTAGTCTTCCACCGCATGCCTCCACATAGCATTAGTCAGCAAACATGCAGTTTTGGTGGGGAGGGGGCTTCATGAGAGCAGCACCAGCTGCAAAAGGCCTACTGCACTGACAACCAGATCAGCTGCAACTAAACTACCTTTCCATGAAACCAGGTCAAAAACCGACAAATTAAGTTACTTTTAACCCGATATAGAACCGAACAATTATAGTTTCCCCATCCATTAACTCCAGTAGCTGAAGGACTCCAAAATGCGCAATCATCTTTGAATATCAATGATTACCTACCAAAGTAATACTCAAAGTATTAACCACAGTTTAAATGACAATTTCACAGTATATAGTTACTTATTGTTATTTATTTCAGCAGTTTATATCTAAAGAATGATAGACTAAAGACCAGACCACATAGGCAAATATTTAAAAGTTAACAGCAAGACACTTTTCCTAGTCACTTGACATTATAACCTAAAAGTTCCCCTGGGATAAAGACTCCATTTTGTCAAAAGGGACAGGAAGGACATAGCAATGACAGTTTCTCCAAAATTGAGTTATACACCAAACAATTATTAAAACAGCACAAGTGGCTTTACAGCAGGCCATATCATATGCATATCCTACTTATGCTGTAGTATGTATTTGATAAAGGATGTGTCGTCACAATTTTAAAATGTAAAATTAAACGAAGCCTTGCCTTGATCAAATCATCATTCTTTTTTTGTGGAACAGGCTGAAAAACAGGCCTTATTTAATGCCTATAATGAGCAACACAGTTAAACTAAGCTGTAAATTAGGGAGCTACCTAAAAGCTAAAAACGAGAGTTAACCTGCCTTTCTTCTCATGTAACGAGTGTCAACAAGACATTTTATCTGTAGCGGCACTGCAGCAATCTACTGCAGTGTAGCTGCTTAGCCAATGTGCACTACATTATCATGGAATGGTTTTCCCATTTTCTAAAACAGTCAAAACGAGCTTCAGATGTATTTCAGGTGTTTCTGTGAAAGTGTGACAGGAATATTGAAGTATACAAAGGATGATTGTGACGAAGCTCTCTAATGACTAACTCACTGCCACGCCATTTAAAGGAGTACGACGATAACACACAACTAATGCAGGGAAGATTAAGCTCTGGTGCATTTGTGTCGCCGGATAAAACGTATATTTAATGTAATATGCTCTGAGTCTGCACACGATGCGCTAAAGGTCACGTTCTCATCCTGCGTCACATTTTCCTGATCAAGTGGTCATCACAGAAACTGACCAATCAGAGGCCGAGAAGACGCAGCGGCCACACCCACAAGAGGAGGCAACAGGAAGGGAAAATGCAACACTGCACGCATCACATTTATATTTTATCATTTTAAATGTAATACCAATGTTTAGCAATAAAGTAAGATTACAAAAACGTAGTGCGGTAGTTACAGAAATATCTGCTGAGTGCACGGACAAATCCCCTCAGTCTGTCCAAGTGCAAATCTCTACGTTGTTAAAACAAAAGATATCTAACCAGCAGAACAGGATTAAAAATGGCTCGTGTAAAATAAAATAAATACACATTTAGGCGTGTTGGGCATTGATGAACATGATGTTAATTTAAAAAGTAGATAAGTTAAGAGTGGAAACAAGCCACGAGTGGTTGACTCATACATGCCCGGACTTACCAGCTTGCAGGATGTACACATACAATAAAAGACAAAAAGGTTTAAAAAGCAGTTATATCATTTACCCACAAGTAATCAGTTTACTTAAAGAGAACAATTAGCAGTCCATGTTGAGGATACCCACCTTACCTCGCTGAACAACTGCAGGGAACGATGTGCCTTTCCACTGTGATAAATATGCTCAAGGTGATCGCCCTAGTTCCTCACTCTGCGGAACTACTTTCTAGGGATGCTGAGACATATCCATCCGAGAGAGTGAAGACACATTAAATAACAATGCAACTTCTTAACCCTTATTTACCTATTGCATTGATTATAGACTGCTCACATGAATGCTCTATTTTAGTAATACTCTTGTGAAAATCGAGGAAATTATAGAAACTATAATCAACGCGGAATGATACACCGTTACGGGGTGGAAGTGCTTGGTAAAGTTAAGGAGCCAATCAGAGGGCTCAGGGCGCGTGAGTGCATCATCGCATGAGTCCGACATGTGACTATGGATGGCGTGCTGTGGTTTCCTGAAAAAACTCAGTATTTGGTTACTACGGTTAGTCTTGTCTAGTTAAATTACGTTTTAACGACTCCAATTATCATGTTGTGATGTTGTCAGTAGTTTTACATCCATTATTCTACGGACATATGAAAATCATCGCCTACCTAAATGGTTAATGGAAAGCATAATCAAACGTGTTGCAATATACGGTAACTCTCGTAGAAAATACCACAGATATTGTTCACGCACTTGTTTTTAATTGAATCAAAACTGGTGCAATATTTGTATATAAAATGGCAATTGTTCATTGCCTCAAATGCATTAGTAGTCGCAGCCAGCCAGAGTTTAACAGTGATGAACCAAGAATCCTGATACCTTGCAACTGTGCAGTGTTTGAGGCAATACCTCCATCTAGTGATGAATACTGATATTAACAATTTGTTCAATAATGTGCTCTCAGCATATTTTAAGGTTTTTAGGAACACCATGTTGAGTATAAAATATACATGTTATATGTTATTATATAAATGATTCTCAAATCATATAATTTTGTATTATGTGGTTGCGTTTCAACCACACGTTGCGAAATTGCATATTTTAAGCAACCGTTTTTGTTCCACTAAATTACACAAATTGCAACTTAATATAAAGTTTTAGTTTAGACTAAAACTAAATCCTAGACAAAAACACTGTCTCCTGTCTCAACTACAGTGAGGTCACATTTGTAACAGTCAGACTCGCAACATAACGGATAAACAAGTACTTGATACAGAGCACCCTGCTAATCTTTTTTCTTTTCTCCCTGTGGCATACTGTAGTCCATGTCATCTCTCACTATTCTGTTCTCACCTGTTGGCAGCTGTGGTGGTGTTGGCACTGCTGCTCCCACTGCCCATGTTGCTGTCCCACTGGCTGGAAATAGCCTCAGCATGGATCCACTCCGCTGCCTGAGGCCAATGGACACACCTGTCCAGGTGAGCGACAGATCTGCCATCCAGTCCCCCTGTCCACTGGCCAAGGGCCTGGCTGTCAGTCAGTAGTATTGGCTGCTTACTCCTGTGATTCACAGGCCATGAGGTACAGTAAGACACTGTGCTAATGTGCTCAAATAAATCTCAGTGAGCAGTTAGGACACCCTATTGTGTGGTACCTCAAATTAAATTATAATTAATGAATACAAGAGGGAAGAAATACAATGATATCCATTAAGGCACACATAGAAAACATAAAAATCAATATTGCATGATGATAACATTTATCATAATATTAAAAAGGCAAAGACAATAGATGAGGAAATTGTAAACATCGATTTTCCATAGTAGTAGGGTGAAAACTGTGGAAGCAAAATTCAAAATGAAACAAGATTTAGATGTGTTTTTAGTTTAACAAGTTATAGATATGCAAATCATTTAATATTTCAGTGAACAGGTAATTTCTTCCAGAAAAAAAGATAGTGGTTGTAATTCAGAAAGTTCCACGGCAATTACTGTATGTAGGAATATTGATTTAGTAACATGGAGCAAAGAAAAACATTTTTATTTCAATCTGCATTTCCACCTTCTCCATCCAGTTGCACTATAGGAATAACATTTAATCATGAACCTGGAACACCTGTTCACATACAAGAAGTACCAGGCATTATAAGAATATAAGCAGGATTGACAAAATAAACGGTGTCAAATATGTTTCCCAATCTATATTGTGCCATTGTGGTCAATGCCCTTAAGCTGCTGCATTGTGTGCCAAATGAATGTTTAAAGATATCTTAATGTTCTCCTATATCCTGGCTACAGCCACACACTGATCAGACAGTAAGACTAACGCATGTTCAGTTTTTAGGTCACTTCTTAAATTGAACCTTGAGATAATCAGGGTTAAGACTGATTAACTCTAGTTAAGTCCTGATGGTAATTGTCTCACATATCCGTACAACACAGTGTATCATAGATACAAAGGAAATGATATTTGTTCCAATATTTGTTTTTGATATTACTAAATACAACTATTGTTACTGTAATATAAATGTAATATTATATTAACTAAGCTTATGCATTTCAGCGTCTATACAACATGCAGTGCGTAAGTAGAAAGCACATTGTAAAAAGGGTCATATTTATGCTTTCTTTCTTTGAATATATTTAGATGAGACAGTATTATCCATAATCTCACTCCAAACATGGTTGAACCGCAATAGAAACTGATTTATGCAAACACACACACACACACACACACACACACACACACACACACACACACACACACACACACACACACACACACACACACACACACACGCACACACGCAGACGCATATACACGAGTAGAGCCATTTTCCTCAATTGTTCTTCTTATTTCTCAGCAGCAGCAGTGCAGTCAGCTGCAGGTCACATGACTTGCTTGCCTGATCTCACTGAGCATGCTCAGACCCCTCAGTGTTGTCAGGCAAAATACAAGGCAGCCGTAGCAGCAACAGCAGCAGCAGAGATCTGCAATAGATAAACACACAGACTCACACACACACCAGTTGGATTGCTCGCAGGCACACACCACACGCATTGAGACACAGGCGCTGTAGACCTGGGGAATAGTGGCTCTCGTTTCTCTAACAAATCCTATTTTAATGGGTTATTGTCATCTGTATTTTCAGTGGAAAACAGCCACGGAGAAAGAGAAAGGCAGGTGTGCCCTTTAAGAGGGGGTGCAGCTGAGGCAAGGACGGCGTCCGACTCTCCATCCTCTGTGGAGGTAAGTGTGGATGGATGGGGTGGGGGTGCGGAGCATGGGGGGAGGGGAAAATCCGCCTGACTGCATCTGTGTTTGTGTTAAATATGATCCGAATGGGGTCGGCCGTGGTGTGTGTGTGTGTGTGTGTGTGTGGGGGGCTCATTTTGCCGCCGACTCTATTGGTATGTGAGACGACAGCGGCTATGGGAATGATGGCGGGGGTTAGGAGGAGGGGGGGGGGTTTGGTGTAGGTGCTTGCAGGGTTAAAGATATGGCAGGGCAGTAGACGTATAGGGACAAGGAGAGGAGCTGAAGCGGAAGATGGTGATGACGAGGGAGCTTTGTTTAATAGGATGCAGTGGATGTCTGGAGGAGCCGTGACACAAATAAAAGAACAGGGAGAGAAACACAGATCTTCATTTTGTGGAAAATAGCCCGATGTAAGGTAGAGATGAGCTTAGTCTCTTATGTTAGCCCAGCAAACAAGGGGAAAGATGTATAATTGGTGTTCATTTGATTGCATTGTCATATGTATAGCATAGATGACTTCATGCTTAGTGGTTCCGTTAAGGCAGTCTGCTCTCGAGGGCCAAGCCATTGCCATCCAGTCTTTGATTGTCAGATTCAGTACTGTTAAATATTAAGAAATGTCATTTATTTTGGTTTCACATCCACTACACAATGTACATTGTAACGTGTATTCTGATGCTGCAGTGGTCGTTATGCAACTCTGCATCTACTGCTTTAAATGTTGTTGAAAGAACATCACGCTCGTTGTTTACATGTCTGACACAAAATGTGATGGGCCGCCATTAAATGCAGTGTACTGTAGCTGCCTCTGTTATATCACACATTTTGTTTTCCCTTACAATTTGTATCCTCATAATCAATATTTCCCCCACCATTTAAAGGCAACCTTTATTGTATGTTCTTAAATTCTTGAGAAATGTCTTTTATTTTTTTTTACTCCACACTGTGTGCAAACAATGCCTTCTTCTTATGCTAACCCAGGAATAACATGGCGCTTCAACCATTTCCTTCCATATAAATCATCCAGGCCAATCAAACACGTCAGTTTAACAATGACATCATTCGCTAAGCTCAATAAAGGTGTGCCAACTGTTGGTGCTTCGGTATTAATAGGTACATTTGCTGTGGGGAAAAACAAACAACACAAAGAAATGGATACATCCTGGGTACTGAACGCTCAGCAGATATCTCCCACACATTCTCTCCACAGTGATTAATGCCACTCTGAAAGGAACCAGAGATGGCTGTTGCTAGGAAACATGGCAAGGTGAAGTGCAGACCATTGAAAGAAAAAAAGGAGGAGGGCACCGTTTACAAAGCTAGTCATGATGGCCTCTTTGTTTCATGTTGTCCATCCTTTACTGATTTGTAATGTCTATTTCTCCCAGGTTTTGCAGTTCTGAAGAGTGCGAGAAAGCGAGGTGGTCAGACGAAGCCCTCCGGATTTCCGTTCTCGTTCCTTCCACCTGGAAATACGCTGCAATGGTCGGCAGTATTCAAAGGTTTAAACCGGTCTGATTGAGCCCTATGAACAGCAGACCCAATGGTAAGACAGCTAGGATTCTATTGGTGTAACCACTGCATACGATTAAGCTGTGTCATCCATGCTTGGTGTGTTTAAGATGTACCAAAGTGGTACATTCAATTAAATTACTTTGCCGTCAATGCTAACAGGAGTGCAGCCTTTTCATAGACATTAGGATGTTGTGTTAGCTTAATCTCAATGTGTAGATTAAATACTGTGGGTTTTTGCAACAGGACCTCCGGGCATCAGGCTTTGCTGGAAATGACAACAGACATGGTTATCTTCTCCAAAAAAACATAAAAGGATCTCATCAATGATCGTAAATTGAGTATTCTTTTGAAGGTTGAATTTCGAGCATTTCCTGTCTTTTTAGAAATAGACCACTCCTCTTCATGTCTCTCTTTGAGATGTTATATAAAGCATTGTTTTGAAGCTGGGTGTTTTGAACGCGAGGCTAAATAGGGAGATGTGAGAAAGGACGTGAGATGAAAGGATGCTAGACAGAGAGAGGTTGCATTTTCTTTCCGCTCCACTATAATGGCCTTTTCACAATGTGTGGGCCCACAGGACATCAAAGGCCAGTGTTGGACAGACGAGGAGTCGGACGGGGAGAACGAGTCGGAACAGTTCCTGTATGGCATTCAGGTAAAGCACAGGCTACTGGATTACATTGCATTACATCTGGTTGTATGTCGGGAAATGTTGTTTTTTATAATGATTGGCAATGATTCACATTACTTTACTCTCAAACTTAGGTATTTTTATACCAAAAATACTGTTTTAGTTCCCAACAAACTGTAAAAGTGCTTCGGATATGTTGTGTTTTACCGGCTTACAAGATCCTCTGCTGTAATGTGTTTGATTGTTTCAGTTGGTTTTGCCGAAAACCACTGATTTAGTCACAGACCTAGGATTTGGTTTGAGCATTATGCATATTCAGACAAAATATAATGCAGTGGGTTGATAGCAATCCAGTAGGTTGCTCTATTAGAACAGATGGACTATGTTAATGCGCCCCCTAATGCAGGGAAAAGATATACATTAATATGAAAGATATTCAATGTCCCAATGTTTGACAAGGTTCTGGGCTGTGTCCAAAATATGAATTTTTGCAAACTGACAATATCACATATTAGATTGTTCACTCAAGTACTATACAGGTTTAGCTTTTGAACACACTTGAAGTCCCAAGCAACACAATATTAATTTTTCTGGATGCTATTTCTTGTATAATCTCTTAAAGTGCAATGCTTCACTTCCATACAAGATCTTAATCTGTTAGTCACCCTTTTTACTGTTATCTTCCAAGTCCTGTGATTGAAATGTAAATCCAGTCTGGGAACTTAGAGCTCATTTCTATGCAGCCAGAGAACATGAAAGCAGCGCAGTGAAGATAAGGATGAAAGTGAAAGGTCTGCACTCAGAGCTCAGGAGAGGAGTGTGACTTCAAGTCTAGACATAATATGACAAACTTAGATCAACTGTTGTTATTAATACTTTAATAAGTTGTTATTTTTGGAGGACAGCAAATGTACTGAGGTAACCACAGAATGTATTTCAGGAAATTGAAGCTGAAAAAGGACAAATGTATGCCTACAGTTTTTGAAATGTATTTGGACAAAGGTCTTTGTTGTGACGAAATATTCAGAAGCACAGCTGATGTGAGAAGAACATATTTGAATTAAAACACGTTTCTGTATACGGTCAGCTGTAGTGTTGCAATTGACAATCTGTTTAAGATTAGTACAAAAATAAGCAGAGAAGTCTGAACAGGAATCTACAACCAGTGAATAAAAAGTTGAAATAATAAATAGTTAGAAGTTATAATTAAATGGTTTAAATATAAACAATATCAAATGTGTCTTTAATAACACCCAGTTTAAAATAATCTCCAAATGTTGAAACTGATTAGATTTATATCCATGCTCACATATGACCTACTGTATTAACTCTCAATCCGTCCCCCACTGAAACAATATTAAAGCATGGACAATAAACTAAATGCTCCCGTTACTGTACTATACCTCCTCGTGTGATGATATGATATAGAATGTCCTCTTTGAAAATTCATATTAAGTTTCACAATGCTTGTTAATATTCAGTTGTCTTGATGGATTAGCAGCCCCCCCACATTCAGCCTTCAGAAACATGTTGAACATAGATTAAACGGATCAAGAATTAGAGTGGACATGGTTGTCCCAAAAAGGAAAACATCTGACAGCTTACACAGTTTCTTAACATCCTTCTGTTAAATATGAATCATAAAAACTCTTCTTAAAGGTCCCATGTCATGCTTTTCTGGTTATTACCCGTCCCCTTGTGTGTTATGAAGGTTTTTATGCATGTGAACAGTCTGCAGAGTCAAAACCCTCAAAGTACACCCTGTAGCGAGTAAAACTCTAACACGGAAAATACCTCCCCAAAACGCCTCGTTGGAGATACGTCAGTGTCCATTGATTCTTCCGGGTAACTCATGATGTCATGGGTTACCCGGAACCAAATGGACCAATCCGTGGAGCCGTTATGTTACGTCCGCGGAGCCGTTACGTTAAGCCCCCGCTGATTGGTCCAAATTGACCAATCCATGGACTTCCTCACACACACACTCAGTGCAGGCAGCTCTGCTGATCTCTCCTCCCTGGCTGCAGGCTGATAACAGACAGTTGGGATCGCGGCAAAATTCTCTCTGCAGACCCATTCTCACAGCGTTTATCAACCTTTCTCTTACTCAATATCAAGCCACACTTATTGTTTTTACTTCGGCTGTGACTTTGTGTGTGCTCAGGGTGAGTTTGGCTCTGTTTCGCTGTCGCTAAACAAGGAAACCACACCTCCACGGAGCTCAGCGCGATTCACAACGTCCCGACCAATCAGAGCACACTGTGCTCACAGGGAGGGTGGGGGCTGGAGCTATTGGAGCTACAACGAGCCGTTAAAGGCAGAGAGTGAAATTCAGTGAATACACGTAGTTTACAGAGATGCTGTATGAGAAACCAAAGTGAGTTTGGAAAATTGCACAATATAAATCTATTCTAGTAGACCTCAACAATGGAATTATGATCAGTGGAAATGGCCATGACACGGGACCTTTAAATAGTAAACCATAATGTTATGAATGAGAGCGCTACCTGTTGCAAGATGGCGGCCATGTGGCAACGATGAGTGAGTCATCTATGGCGCATTTCCACCGCAGGCCTCGCTCGGCCTCGCTCAGGCCTTATTAGGCCCGGCTCATTTTAATGCTACGCTTCCATTACAGTTTAGGAGCTGGGGCAGTAACTTTAGTAATGCAGTGTAGGCGGAGCCGTGACATCATCTTCAATGAGCATCCGTGAGCACCATGGATGTATAATAAGAACTGGATACAGCGTGGGAGGCGGGGCCTCATTCATTCCTATGAGAGTTGCTCNTCGAGGCAGTGAAAGACATCTACACTGACAGTGCTGTCTCTGTGAGGTACTGTACAGAAACACAGAAACACAACAACACACACAGAAACACAACTGTGTAAGACCTATTTTGAAAAATGTTTGTACATGAGACAATTCAGAGTCATAATGTATTCATTTCCACTAGGCACTATCTGCAAAATAGGAAAAAAACACAACGGGATATTGAAAATGTTTGAGTGCATCTCATTACTTATGATGAATGACTTTTTTTCCGTCTCTTCACAGGGAGTATGGAACCATTGATGACGTGGACATCGATCTTCACATTAACATCGGTTTCTTAGATGTGAGTCAGCATTCCTCTTTCCCTGCACACACCTCCTCCTTCTCTCCCCATTACTATTCCAACGTTGATATTTTGCAAAGTAACACATCATGTATAATGCATCGTGTGCTCATAATTTATTTATGCAATGAGAAATGGCCCTAATTAGGATGCTAACTCTGTGTGTATGTGTATGTGTGTGTGTGTGTGTGTGTGTGTGTGTGTGTGTGTGTGTGTCTGACTCAGGAGGAGGTTGCGACAGCTTGGAAAGTTATCAGAACAGAGCCCATTATTCTGAGACTGCGCTTTTCTCTTTCTCAGTACCTCGATGGACCTGGTGAGTAAAGATGTCAGTGTGGATGTTGGTTTTCTGGGAGGGACTTTAGGTATTTGTGCCACTCACTGAGCGTGGGAGGTGAGTACAATATGTGCTATACAAGAGGGAGAGTGAGAAGTGAGAGTGTGTTTCTGTGCACTGTGTAATAATGTTAGTCATCTTTACTCAGAGCCGTCAGTCGAGGTGTTCCAGCCCTCCAATAAAGAAGGCTTCAGCCTCGGCCTGCAGCTCAAAAAGTAAGTTGTTTTTGCTGACGCCAAGAACATGTCATAGTGAATTACTACGAGCAATACTTAAGATTAAGACCCAATATAAATATGGTATCAGAAACTGTAGGTGAATACTTCCCGCCTGGGTCCAAGAAAACTGGTGGCAGCAAAACAAACTATTCTCTTTTTAATGAGGATTTCAGGCAGTACCTAGTCCTTTTCCATCATTCTGTTAACAACTGTGACCCGCTTTGCATGCGACGCACGGCATGAGTTTGCAAAAAACTGAAAGTACTTTGTTGCCTGGCTGAGAAATTGGCGGTGTGCAGCCTGCAGCTCTTCATCTAACACTTCACTGTGCTCTATACTCTACCCTGCAATATATCTAAAAAAATACAGACTGTTATCAGGTGTCGGCTGCATTTTTGATTATGAATAGCAACCAATGTCATGTTTAAACACATTGCATTTCCTGTGACTAATTCACACTAAATGTTAACTTATTTTTCACCAGTTTAATGTTTTAATGTGAAGCTGCTGTAGGAACTGTTTGGTTTGCATTAGGAGACGCTTTATACAGAATGTTGTCCTGGAATATCACCAAAGAGTCCAGCTCACATTAGTGCAAGGATAACACTTTCATCAGTGGGTGAAATATAGTGACTTAACATACATTTATTTAAACAAAACTCTTGGGGATTGTAACCTCCACCACTTCAATGTTAACTCACCAATCTTCCTTATTTGTGCCGTATCAGGATCCTGAGCACCTTCACCTCGCAGCAGTGGAAGCACCTCAGTAATGAGTTCCTCAAGGCCCAGCAGGAGAAGAGGCACAGCTGGTTCAAAGCCGGGGGAACCATCAAGAAGTTCCGCGCCGGGCTCAGCATCTTCTCCCCCATACCCAAGTAGGTCTCTCTCTCTCTCTCTGTTTCTCTATCAAGACATCCTAACAACCATGACTGTGTTTCATAGACAGCATGCTACACATTTAAAGGGGCCCTATTATGCCTTTTCCTGCAGTGTGTTACATAGGTTTTATGAATGTATTTATGTAAATGTTCTGCAAAGGCTAAAATCCCAAAGTTTCTCTCCCACACACTCCCCCCCCCCTGCCTCAAGTTTGACTCGTTTGTTTACTTCCGTAACATAATCACATCACTATGTGACACACATGCTTATATTGACTAGCCCTCCAACACATTTAATAAGCGGTTGACCAATCACAACAGAGCCGACCAGCTAACCAATCAGAGCAGACTGGGCTCTGGTTTCAGACAGAGGGTGAAAAGAGGTGCTGCAGCAAAGCAGTGTGAGAAAAAGAAAGCCCTTTCTGAATGTCACAGAAGACGGACAAAATACAAATATGTACCTGAAAATTAGCATATTTCTTTGAGTCTGTGATTGACAATCCAATAGATTGTTATTTTTAAATAAACACACATTTTCCGCAATGATAATTCCATTACAAAATCAACAAGGAGTTAAGCTGTTATACTTTGATGTGATGCTGACGTGTTGAACATTTTATTAGGACATGTCCTGATCTATTTTCTAAACACTTCACTGTTTTCAAGTGTCTGCAATCACTCAGGGAGAAGAGCACGGAGGAAATAACCTCAAGTACAGAATCAAACACAATCAGGCTATTTTTGTGGTATTTCTGGCATTACATCTGCAAATGTTCTTGCACTTTTGGGAAGTCGTAAGATATTTTTAAGTGTTCCTGTAACTTGCTATTTTTACATGACGATTCAGCTTTGTTCGATTGTAGGTTTTTAGGAAATAACAGAAGGTTGAGGATTACGTTTATTTCTGTGATTCAGCCTGTACCTAGTCACAATATGATGCCTCTTTCTGGATACTAGGGAATATCCTGTTTCATGAGATGATGTCTACAGTTTGTGTTAATTTTAAAATTTCTATTGTATTTTTCACTTTGAATTTGAATTCCTTTCTTTTGACTTTCTCCTTTGATCTATTGGGAAGCTCTTTGCAACATCAAATCTAGAAAGGTGCTATATTAATACGTTTACTTTACCAACATGCATGTGAGCTATATCCCAAGTCCATAGATGTCGGTTGGACGATAGAGAGACAGTGAAATAAGTACTTTGTGGGGGTCTGTGCTTTTGAAGACTGCAGCAAGGAAGACAAGCAGGAGCAACATATCTGACTTTGCATGTGTACGATAGACTCAAACTCTAAACGTGACACAACCAATTTCCTAAGGGGGGATTACTCTTCTCTGCCTCTGTCTGACTGTGTGATGCTTTGACAGTGAAGGGTGAACTGGGATCGTATCTCGACCCCCCCCCGATGGAGGTCAGCCTCACAACTGCTATCTTGACATGCTTACTACTTGACAGGAGTCTCATTTCAAGAGAGTACATGGATAAAAGTGATGGTGATCATTGTATAATAACAGCTAGCAACTAACAGATTGTAGTTTGTTCAAGCTGATATAATAATCTAAGTGTAGCGTGTGTATTTCTTTAATACATTTCACTCTAACATTAACCAGGCACTGACTATATGGTATAACTACGATGGTGCAAATTCTATTATAATTAATTCGGCTTTTTTCAAACAATACACTTCTGAAACAACAAACACATTTCTGTTTTATCGTTCCAAGTTAGAAGAAGGATAGATACACGCTTGGTAAAGTAATGTGTGTCCATTTTGTCTTCTTTTTTTTTTAGGTCCCCAAGTTTTCCTCTGATCCAAGACACCGTTTTGAAAGGGAAGCTGAGCGTCCCTGAGCTGAGGGTGACGCGCCTGATGAACCGCTCCATCTCGTGCACCATGAAGAACCCCAAAGGGGAGCTCTTCAGCTACCCCCCCAACAGCCAGGTCAGTGTCCGCCTGTACTGGGCATCAATCACACACCTCTCAGTTTAAATGTTCATTTGAGGAATTAACACAATCCCACTGTTCTCCTACCTATGTCAAGGTTTCAAAAGGTCCTTAAAAAGTTGCTGAAATGAAGTCCTAAAATCGTCTTTACTTGTAAAAAATGTGATTTTATAGTTCTTAAAATAAATGCTTTACTTGTTGTCTTACCTACAAAAAAAGAGGGTTGTCTGGATTTTCCTTTGCTTATACTACATTCAAAAGAAAGGTTTTTTTACTTTATCTCAAACATGAATGTAATTATTGATCACTTTTTCACTTCAAACATGTCAGTTCATTATTGTATTTCAAACAATGATATGATCATTTTCATTCATACTCATTTCCAATCATATTTCTGCCTGTATGACTCCAAAAACACAAATGTATCTTATATTGTATTCAATGCATTCTTAAAATGTTCTTCTGAAATCTGAATGGAACTTGTTGAAACCTGCAGAAACCCTGTTATTAGTCTTTAACATGTTTCACTCACATGTCAAGTTGTGGTCACAGTGTTGATGTCACAGCTGTGAACCTTGACACTGCGTTTGTGTAGAAAGTCATGAAGCAAAATGCTGCTGCTGCCTGCTGTCTAAGGCACTGTATACTTCTGTTTGAATCCACTGTAACCCACTCTTATCCTCTTCTCAGTCACCTGCCACCTGCACTGTTCCCACCTGAGCCTTTCCTCCCCCCCCCACCGTAACATGGCTGCTGCGCCGTTTCCCATAATGCTTTGTCTTCACTTGACTCATCAGACTGTGGCTGTCCCGGCGGCCAGGGCCCCTGCGCAGATTACCACGAGGCAGCTGATTGAATTGTTTTTCTCATCCCAGGCGGGCGGCCACTGCAAGAACATCCCTACCTTGGAGTATGGCTTCTTAGTGCAGGTTAGACCCCGGGGAGATATGAGCTGGGAGGGGGGG